ACGCCTGTGCTATTTACGCTTCTTTAAAGCCTGGCTTCAACGAACTGGCTTAACTTAGCGCCATGGAAAAACTACTCGTTGCGACAGCTAAAATTTATACTCCTCAAAGAAAGGAAGTAGACCCAAACAAATACTACAAATCCAATCAGCGAATCGAACAGCTCGTTCGAGAAAAGAGACGCACGCGTCGTGATTAGCAAACTCGATCACTCGACCAGGCTTTTCAACCAACAGGAAGAAAGTGCACAGCTTTGATTCCTTTAGAGGTCCTACCCATGTCTTAGCGCCCCAATTTTTACGTCTGTAAAATATTTAATGGGCTCATTAATCTTGGCTATTTCCCAAAAAAGTTGAAGAAATCTATTATCATAATGATACCGCAGCCTGGAAAATACCACACAATTTCGACATCGTACAGACCAATAAGACCATAAGTACAGACCTTCTATTTTGTTTGTCTAAATTGTTTGAAAAATGCTTGTCCCGGCACACCAATTTGGCTTCCAAAGAAACCATGGCACCATCAAGCAAGTGAACAGATTAACATCCGAAATACACTCAGCCCTCGAACAGCGAGAATACTGTAGCGCTATTTTTCTCGACGTATCTCAGGCTGGCTGAATGGACTCATGCACGAAAATAAAACGTATTTGCCAACATACACCTACAAGCTACTGAAATCATACCTCTACAATAGGCTATTCTCAGTGAGATGAGAACCTAAAACGGTAAGAAAGCTTATTTTTGCCAGTAAGAAAGTATGGATTAGAGAAATTTAATTTTTTTTTAATGAAAATTTATGTCATGTTATGCATTTTTCGTTTTTATTTTGTTGAAACTTGCATTTTTGATTTCACAGAAAAGGATTTTGGTTTTGTATTCAAATAATTAAGACTGATTGCTCGCAATATATATATATAAAAATAATTGATGCGCTATTTTCTATTTTTCCCAGCTCTACTTAGTCCCAGATGCGAAGATCTTTATTCTTGCTGCTTTCCTTAGTCTCGGTAGTCTAGTAGCGCATTAAAATAAACGAAAAAAAGTAAAAGCATGATGACCGGATGACCGGCGACATGGAGGCGCAGCGATCTTTGTCAAGGCAGCCATAGCCCATCAACTCTCTTTCGCTCTTTCGGAAGAGTACATTCAAGCCGTCTCCATCGAGATATCTACAACAGGTTTAACGTTGCTTCGGTGTACTGCCCCCCTGCTGTCAGGTGGACGGAAGCAGACTTCACGACTTTCCTCTCCAATCTCGGAGATAAGTTTCTTGCTGCAGGTGACTGGAATGCCAAACACAGATGGTTCAACGTTGCTTCGGTGTACTGCCCCCCTGCTGTCAGGTGGACGGAAGCAGACTTCACGACTTTCCTCTCCAATCTCGGAAATAAGTTTCTTGCTGCAGGTGACTGAAATGCCAAACACAGATGGTTCAACGTTGCTTCGGTGTACTGCCCCCCTGCTGTCAGGTGGACGGAAGCAGACTTCACGACTTTCCTCTCCAATCTCGGAGATAAGTTTCTTGCTGCAGGTGACTGGAATGCCAAACACAGATGGTGGGGATACTACAGGATGTGTGCCAGAGGCCGGACCCTCGGCTCTGTCCTGACCAATGTCAATGTCGACATTGTAGCAACTGGAGAAGCCGCATGTAGGGGTAGCATCGTGCAAACGCCACCCCCAGTGCAATTGACTTTAGCATCTCAAAAGGCTTCAGACAACAGCAGGTCTCTGTCAGAGCACTCACCGAGCTATCTTCCGACCACCTCCCGTTGCTCTTCATAATAAATGAAGAAGCTCAATATTATAAAGGAGTCCCCAAAATGCTACCTGCGCATGCAAACGTTGCCACTTTTAAGTCCTACATCGATGCTCACACCGTGCTCAACACACCAATAGCAACCTGCAGCGATCTGGACGCATACGCAGATAGCTTCACCTCCACAATTACTGAAGACGCCCAGAGGGCTACGCCACCTCAGCCCCAATCTGGTCACTTGTTTTGGGAAAAGCGTTAAACCTTCAAAAATTTTCATAATTTCGAAATGAAATTGGTCTCGTTTTATTCAGAATTAACAAGACAATATTGATATGTTTTAAAAATGATACCATTTCTTGGAAGTTGTAACGAAAAAATGGCGTCAAAGTCCGAAAAACACGACAAAAAATCAAAAATGTCAGTTTCTTGCTGTTAAGAGGAGCCCTAAATAAATAGGTCTTACTCCAATGAGCACCTTAGGGAAACTGATTTTATTTGGTAAAGTTCTCTTATAAGTACGATACATGAGAATCTTAAATCTATTAAAACTACTTGTCAACGCACTGCACGCTGACCTGCTATGCGACCCTTTCTCCAGTGCGATAAGCGCACCACTTATGTATGTGTTTGTGTTAGGCTGCAGGGGATCGGTTTTGAACCATCTGTTTAACTCATATTTCATGGTCCGATCCCTTGAAACTCTAACTTAAGAATTACTATAAAAAAATAGTGTTCAATGCTTGAACACTTGCGTAAAAATTTTATACTTTTTGTTGAAATAAATTAAAGATCTATTTTTTTTCAAAAGCTCCAACATTTAACTAAGGAAAAACGAAAAAAAAATTTAAAATCGGTTTAAAATTACGCGTTTAGGAATTTTTAAGAGCAAAAAAGTCCCGAAAACCCGAAATTCCTACTAGGTCTCTTCAAAAGCTCCAAATCACTGTCGCACTGTGTTATCATATTTTGTAATTTCAACCCGATCCTACTGTGCAACGGTAAGCGATAAGTCATTTAAAAATTAATGAAAACCCTGATCAAAGCCAGCCTATTAAATGGAAAGTTCAGAGGTGAAAATATACTAATACCACGGATTGCTATTATACTTACAGATGCGCCATCAGTTACAGATCAGTTTCCGATTAGATTGGCATTTTCAATGACTATTAACAAATCCCAAGGTCAAACAATGTCTATTTGTGGCTTAGATTTAAGGGGAGGGTAAGGTCAAATCATGCGAAAAAAGCCATGTTTTTGTGATTTTTTTCCTGACGACACAGTTAAAATTTATTTATTCAACCAACGGTATATTAATGTATGACATTAGAAGAATGTTTAATAAAATTTTTACAAAAAAATATTTAAAAATATGGCAATGGTAGCAATTGTCCGGACGTGTCGCCAAAAAAAGTTGAATTGCGGTGCCCCTCATAACTCGGTGCTGGATCATTTGTAATCAAAAAATGAAAATTCATTCGTTAGATAATAGTTCGCCCCAGTTATAATAGTTAATAACGCTGTAAAGGTTTTTTGAAAATTGCAATTTTTTAATTTTTTCGAAGACTTTGAAGTGAAAAACTCAATTTTTTGGGAAAAAATCGGTTAATTTGTCAATGCAAAATCAAAATTATGAACAAAAAAAAAAAAAACTCGACAGCGTTACCTCGTAAAATATGTACAGAAATAGTGTTTTAAATTTCAAAAGGATCGGTGCAGTAGTTTTGAAGTTATGAGGGGCACCGACTTTGAAAACGTGAGTTGTGGGAAAAACGCTTTAAAGTTTTAAACACAAAAAAATCCAGTGTAAAACGTTTGCAAGCAACTTCGTCAATAACTAATAACTTCGTCAATTTTGCTTTAATTGACTTGAAATTTTGACACAATATTCTTCAAATATTATGCATTCAATTTAAAAAATAAAAAAAAAAATGACAAAAAAAAAAATTTAATACCTTACCCTCCCCTTAAGATCTAAGAACACTATGTTTTTCACACGAACGTGTGAAAAATTAAATTATATTATAAAAAACTATTGATTCCTGTATTTCTAAAGTATTCCTGTTTAACCGATATATATATATATATATATGTGTACTTTCTGATTCTAGATCAGAAAGGCTAGAAAAAATCACTTCTTGTTTTTGAAAAGGTTTATAAAAACAGATTTTTATTAAAAATCATATATTGATTAATATAAATTCAAGATTAAAACAAGAAAGGAAAGCTAAATTCGGGCGGAGCCGAAGTTGATATACCCTTGCAGATAAGACAGGATAGCTGGTCGACCCTTACGAGAATATCATAATATAACCAATTTATTACAATAAAATATATAAAATAAAAGTGCAAACTTCAAAAATACCTAAGTTGGTAATTTTGCCAAATACCATTTCCGATGTTGCAGTTATATGTCAGCTATAAGATATAGTCGGCCGATCGTTATGAAATTTGGTAGGTCGGATCAACAAAAAATTTAATTTGTACTAAGTTCCAGCTTTCTATCTTCAGACAGTTATTTGGCAGTCGGAGGTGTATCCTTCACTGCCTTGCACACTTTTGGACAAAATTATAATACCCTCTGCAAGGGTATAAAGATAATTTTGGAAGTAATATGGTTTCCGAACTAGGCCATGTTCATAGGTAGGGCCCATAAAAATTCTTACATACAGGGGTTTATGATTCTTATATTAGTTTTTAAGGATATGTGATAGACAATAATATGACTCAAAAAAATTACTTTTACTTCATTAAATTTAATACAATCTTCTCATAATAGGATTTCAGTCAAGATGTGGATCTTAATAATAAACATTCATTCTTAGTTTCGAATTTATCGTTACAAATTTAAAATTACTAATATGACAATATTGTCGATTGTCGCGTATTTTTACAATGAAAGAAATATATAACAAATTATATAATATTTCCGATTCGAAATTAAATCAAATCTAAAATGTTTTAATCTTAAAGCTCGCAAAGAATGATCATAACCGCGACCAAAAAAATAAAACCCTCCTATATAAATTCGACAGAACGCAATAGTTAGCGGTACCATTAAAGATTACAAACCAAAAAAAATTTGAAGACTTCAAAAGCAATGCACAAGTTTTCTTATAATGAAAAAATTATAAATTAAATTAAGTTTCTTTTCTGAGAAACAAAACATAAAAAAAAATTTTCTCTGAAACTGGGTTGGAACAAGTTTTCTCCATAGAAAATATAGATAGGAAAGCGTAGATTTCCATTTTTTTAAGAACTGCTGCTAAAAAAGTTTTATTTAAAATAAATTACACTATTTTATTCGTCATTCAAACTTTTACTTTAACAAAAAATGAAATACGCATACCATACATAATACGCATAGGGTTGCTACGCATACCCTAAAATGTTAGACATGTGTGCATTTTTGTTTTGAACTCGTTAAACAAAGAGAAAGAAAACAGATCACCGTTTTTATTAGTTTTGCGAGACAGTCCTGACCACATGCACAAGTAGAACCGATTTTTTTGCAAGCTTTGATAAATATAGAATCACAAAAAAAAAATACTGTCAGATTTAATGTTGTTTTAACTTAAAATTATAAATATACTTTGGTTTAACAAATTTGGCTGAATATTTGCTTATTTTATTATTAATAGTAAAATGTTATATAATTTGAATAAGTAGCTTCATTAATGACTAGAAATGGTTATACAAATTTTCATTTAGGCATTTTTTTTTTAATTTAAATAATTAATTTAAAGGCTTTATTTTAATTAAATTTTAAATTTTACCATACAATTTTTGTTTATTAAAATATGTAAATCTGTGATTGTAATGTAACATGTTACATGCGAGTTATGTCAATTCCATCTTTTATAGACTCTCTTCTCAACAGGAGCTTAGTATCATTTTCTATATCTATTGGAGAAATTCCCGCGCTTCGGTCATTTAAGTATGGAGTTTCTTCCTCCACAATTTTTTCGAGTAGCGCGTCTCCTGAACTATTCAAACCTAAAAAAAATAAATTTATTACTCAGAATACAAAACTGAGCTTAAAGTTGTACACACCAGCTCTTCCAACTAATGGGGCACTATTAATAGATTCAGTGGAGCAGCAATCGACAACAGAAACATCTGTGGGTGAATTACTTCGTAAGTTTTTTTGTAAGGCAACTGCCTTTCGAGCGTGACGCGTAGTTAATACACCCGTTTCAACATCTCTTTCAAGACGATGACCTGTATTACGGATCATTGCTTTAAAAGTGTAACTATAATATGTTATTTAAATTATTACCAGATCGAGATCGAGTAAGCTGACGTTGAACGTAATCCTCAAGGTCTTCTTCCTCTTTTCTGCTTATAAGACAGTTTAAAATTAATAAAAAAAGTCCCAATCCAAGAGAAAAAAGGCCTGTGCATGTTACTTCATTCCACCACACAGCACTTGAACCTAGTTTAAATATTTTCATAAGCTTATTTCTAAATATTTAGCTGTAAATGACTTACTAAAAACGTTCCAGGACATAGTTTCATCTGGAATTATACCAGCTCCGCAAAGGAAAACTCCGAAAACGATGAAAACAATGCCAATATGAAGCATTCCGATACTAGTTACCACCTGTTACAAAAATGTTAATTTATCAATAATAATAAAAATGAATTTTTTTTATTAATTTGTTTTTAGCAAAAAGTAGACGTTTAATACGTTTATACTGTGTGTGTGCGGCAGAACGCGGCCAGAGAAATTTCCTATGCCCCTGGAACCGGGCTATGACGACCACTACTTTAGACTGACGGCTTCATCTTACCCTAATACATTTATCTAAATAATTTCAAAACTGTAATATTTATAATGAAAATATTTTATTGACTTAATTTTAATTTTTGATTGAGGCTAATTTTTGTACCCGGTAGTCGTAGAGTTAAAGGATATATTGTAATAGTGTGAGTAAATACAACATAGAGAGGAATCATCTTCGTCCCCATAAAGTATATATGCTCTTGATTAGCATCAACAGCAGAGTCGATATAGCTATAGGATTTTGTATGGGGACTGTTATAATACCCATTTCAGTTCAAGTTTGTCTATAGCGTTTTCTGTAGCGCTAGTTAAGGAGGGTTTTTTAAAAAACTTTTGATGCCACATATAGTTAATTTATATCTGAAATTCATATTTTAGCCAAATCGTCTGATTTCTAGAGGAGTTATAAATTGTTAAGTCTGCTTCCCTACTAAATCGGTAGTAAGGACGTGGGGGTAAGTACAGGGGCTCAGGTTTTTCATAAGCGCAAAAGTGTGCAACAAAAGTTTTTTGTGAGAATCCAAGTCTTTAATGTTTAAACTTTAAAGGTTAGTTAAAGTTTAGGTGGAAGAGATGAGTACCTGGTATAATATAAGTCGATTACAGCTGTCCTTTTTTGTTTAGTTATTGGCGCATGCGAAGTAAAACTACCGCTTACTAAGTGCGTTGCGAAACTCATTTTTATGGCGTTATACGGTTTAGTTGTCCGATCGTTCCGTGATTCTTGTGAAATCCAAACTGATGCATAGGGATGCACTGTTGTCGTCTATGCGTTGCGATCTATACAAGTTTTTCAAATTTGTTGATTGACACTGCAACAGGCTGATAGGTCAATTGATGATGTTGGTTCTAATGGTTCATTGTTATGTTTGGTTTCTTTCATTGTTGAGGAAAGTGGCCCCTTTAGTATTCGATGCAAAGTAAGAATACATGTGGACTTAGCTTTGCCATCGGGTTAATTTGTTTCGTAAACAAGCCAGCCGTCGAAGTGGAAGTAGTTTTTTTTTTACTTGATGATATCAATCGTGATATCAGTATGACATAAATTTCATAGTAATATGGTTACTAATATGGTAATTTCATAGTAACTGTAGCTCGCATTTACGCAGAGAATTCAGTATTTTTTCGTGCGTGCATATTCCTATATTTCTTATAATCTTATAAAAGATATGTCATTAGCGACAAAAAATACTTCAATGCTTAAAATGAAAATGAAAAATTTAAACGTTAATTTCCACAACCATCGCAACGAGAAGAACACACAACAATGCCCAAATGTTTTGACTGTCTTTAAGCAAGTAGTAAAAGACAATCTAACGTGACTGCGTTTCAGTCATTCGAAAGTTACGTGTCTATGTTCTTTGTAGTGTTTCTTGCACGTCCCGACTAAGAATAGTATTTAATGTGTAGTTTTTTAGCTATAAGGCTTTTTTTCGTCACATAGAGGGAGGGAGTGTCACCATTATATTACCTCGTCAAAAAGTTTTTTTATTTGATATCAGCTTCTTTTTGGTTATTGTTAATCTTAAAATGCAATTAATTTTATTCAATTAGTTTTAATTTGTAGAAAAGTTTTCAAGATTCTATCTTCTTTGGAAATACCAAAGTTGGGTTATGTCCGATCGTTCAGTTATATCGAAGCGATCCATTGTCCAAAAATAGAATCTGTAAATAGTTTCAACTATCTTTGTTCAAAAACACAGTCCTCAAATTAAAGTTGGGTAATTTCCGATCGTTTTCCAATTCAAGGTATGGGGTAAAGTCGGCCGATCGTTTTAAATTATAAATACTCTCTAACTCTAACAGAAATGGTCGAGCTATAATCAAGTTTCCCGACTATATTATACCCCGTACTCATCTCTTCCACACACAATTAAACTTACCTTTAAGGTATAAACTTTAACAGTAACCAATTTATCAGTAACAAATTTATCAGTAACAAATTTATCAGTAACAAATGTATCAGTAACAAATTGTTTGTTGCGCTTGGGCAAAACAACACTTGCAGCCACCCTACTACCCCCTAAGAACAATCGACGGATTTAATTGGGAAACAGACAAAAAAGTTTTTACTTTCCTCCATAAAAAATTATCCGAGTTGGGACCAGCAGAAGTAAACATCAGCCGCTGTAATAAAGTTGCAGTAAAGCATAAACATTTGGTTTCTATTATGTATTGTTCGTTAAAAATTATCCGATTTGGCAAATTTTTAATTTGTCAATATGAGTATATCTCCTTTTAAATTTCATCCAATTTGTATGAAATTTGTTTTTCAGATATATTTTAACTATAGAAAAAGATTGGCATAAAAAAACTGGCGCTACAGAAATTCTCAATTTGTAGGAGCGGTAGGGGTGTGGCAAAATGATGAAATAAACTTGAACTGCGTGGGCATTGTCTCCATGCCAAATCATATAGCTCTCTCTTTTAGTCTCTCTTAAAGCTTCTAAAACAATTTGAGAGTGCTCACACTATCAGTGTGCCGGCAGAGCTGCGGCAGAATTTCCGACCCTATGCACGCGTGCTATGGGAAATGAGAGTTTGCCCACCACTGCTCTACAAGTACAAGCTCTACAAAGTGAATGAATATATCTCTAACGATATATACAAATAAAAAAAAATAAGCTCTCAAGCCACGAAAATGATATGAATGAAAATTTTGTGAGTCTCTCACAAAAACTTAAATAGGGATTCATGGTGATTTAAATGAAAATGATACTGCAGAAACCCTTAAGGTCAAGTAAATAATATAATAATAATAAAAATCCGGTTATAAAATATCTAATACCATTGGTAGATATTAGCTGTACTTTGCGATAGAAGTGAAAATGCCCCTAAAAATAATAAACAAAAATAAAATTATTCAACCAATGTTTAAGGTATAACTGATTCCCCTAAGTGTACCTCTCATTAAAAACGAAATTCATCCGATATATATTCTTTAATATATACTGCGTCCCAGAATCAGAACTCTGAAGCTGCACAAATGAAATGAACCGTCTCCATGATCTGCCAGAAATACGGCTAAAGGATCCATGTGCCGATATATGTAATAGCTGTGGGGACGGTTAGCACGGCCAACTATACAGCTTAAAAAGTTTTTCTTATCCAAGGATTCTGCGCTACAAAAATCATGCCTCCATTTTCAATTATCCATTTATCCCAATTGCCTATCGAGACAATGCTTTATACCAGTGGTGCCCAAGCTCTGCATACGGAAGAGCAAAATCCCATACCAATGCAAAAAATCACCAACATTGGTGCGAAATTTTTTTTTCCATCCATGTGGCTGCACTGAAAAATAAAATTAAAGTAACATTCACAAGGGATTTAAAAAAAAAAATCACTATAATAAAAAATACATTTTATTACAGAAATTAAAAAAAGGCCCTACATATTTTACAACAGCTTATTATTATACTATGACCAAATATGCAGAGCTTCTTAGTTAAAAAAAAATGTTCTGCGAAGAACAAATTCATCGCTACAGGTCGACCATTTTGGCAGAAACAAAAATAAGAACGAATTTCTTGCAGTGAAAAGTTTTCGGCACTCCAACAACAAAATTCATTCGGATTAGTACGATTGAGGAGAATAGGGAAAACACGAAAAATTGTTATTGTAATTGCCCTTTGCTTATGATGGGACCAACGATGCTTATGGCGTGAGCAACGAATCTTATGGCGTGAGCAGACTCACACAACTCGGTAGGCATGAGCATTTGCAAAAACAAATGAGCAGCGAGAGCAATGGTATGAGCACCACTGCTATATACTATCACTAACCATACAGCATATAGACCCATTTCATACAATGAAAATGGATGCAAAAATTTCTTGCGACAGGCCCCAGCAGGCCCCAAAGCGAAGTCTTACTCTCTTTCTTACGCTCATCGTTCGTTCATCTTACGCTCATACTCTCATTGAATGCTTTCTGAGTCTATGAAAGCAGCTCGATGGAGAAGGTTGGTCTGCGTGTCTTTGTGTGTGTGCGGGTCACAGATTCACATACACGGGTGCATGTGTGCAGCGCACAAAATTTTTGATTTTTCTAACTTTTTAGACTTGCCACCCTAACAAAATTCGGGTATTTGTTATTGTGTAAAATGACGAAAAAAATTTTATTAATTTTTTTTTTTTTACATTTATTTAGAAATAAGTTTAATTGTTAGCATGCTTTGTATATATATACATATAATTTTTTTAACAATCATTAAAAATAATTTACTGAGAAAGGAACAGGGTATATTTTAGTCGACATCACTTAAAACGCCGATTGCTTTTATTTTTGGTTCTTCTGCATAAGAATTTTGCAAACCCTACAGATGAATGATTTTTTTACTTTGACTTTTTTCAGTCTGTTTTTATGAATTTTTTTAAATTGAATTTTTATACCCTTGCAGAGGGTATTATAATTTTGTCCAAAAGTGTGCAACGCAGTGAAGGAGACATCTCCGACCCTATAAAGTATATATATTCTTGATCAGGATCACCTCCTGAGTTGATATGAGCATGTCCGTCTGTCCGTCTGTCCGTCTGTCTGTCTGTCCGTCTGTTTCTACGCAAACTAGTCTCTCAGTTTTAAAGCTATCGACTTGAAACTTTGCACACACCTTTCTTTCCTTTGCACGCAGTATACAAGTCGGAACGGCCCGGATCGGCCGACTATATCCTATAGCTGCCATATAACTGATTGATCGGAAATGGTATAACTTCGGTGTTTTTAGAGTTAGAGAATTTTACATGAGCGCTATTTTTGGCAATATAATACGACATGCCAAATTTCGTAAGGATCGGCCGACTATATCCTATAGCTGC